TCGGCTCGGTAACCGCACCGGAGCCAGTGTGAGCAAGGGGTGACAGAATACCAGTGGGAAACGATCTGCTGATGTGCAGGTTGTGTGTCGGGGTGTTTTACCTGGTAGGAATTTGGCCAGAAAATGGACACGGCAAGCTCCACCCCTTTCCAGATGTGGTAGGCGGGGCCAGATGAGTTACTGATAGGAATTCCCAGAGGGCTGTTGTTCTCTGCAGACCAAACACAGAATGTCAGCACACCTGATGGCTCCGCCCACCCTTCTAAAGGCTCCTCCCACCCAGTGTACCTTTGATGTAGATATTGAGCGTAGCGGGCGCAGCCCCCTCTCGGCCCCCGACCTGGTAGAACTGGAAGCTGAGGCAGTGTGTGTCGTTCTCTCTGAGCGGCGGCAGCAGCAGCTGAGCACGCTGACCGCTGTAGCGGCCGGACGTGTTCACGAAGAGGAAGGACGAACCTGCAGGTCACAACAAAGGGAAAATTAACAGCTGTAGACTTTCACAATAACCAACGTCTTCCAGAGTCAGCTGCAGAACTGTTACAGAGAAGCAGTTTCCCCCACAGGGTGTCCTGCTTTTACTCAGGTCTCTAGTGAACAGTGAAAATAAAAGCTCAGTGTGAAGACCTTCAGAATAAAAGCTCTACAGGAGGAGGTTAAACCACCAGAAGGCTCCAAATCAATAATTCATCAGCAGTACCCAGACACAAACGGCTCGTTTGGTCCAAAGTGGAACGCTTTAATTGGAAGACTTCAGAATAAAAGCTGTGCTCTGTGTGTGAGTGTGCACGTGCACGTGGACGCCCTCATTAGTGTTCGCTCGTGGCTCCGCTTCCTCACTACAGCTGTCAATCATCCTTCCTCACTGCCTCCACTTCCTTCAAGTCTGTTTCTACAAAGTTTCTGTGAAATTCAAATTGTTCCCACTTTGTAAACTCAGTGTGGGTTGAAGGGCGTCTCCATGGCAACAGGAAGACAGCACCCGGCCTGCGGTGATGAGTGGCGGCAGGGCTGTCGGTCCTGTTCCCCATCAACCTCATCTGGTCAGTCAGCTGGAAGACGATGGGGTTTCACATTAAAGAAGCGGTTCTGATCCGTTTTCAGGAAAAGCTACAGAAGGTTCTGTTTGGACCTGAGCTCAGCTGAGTGATCAAACCAGAACACCATCACAGACAAGCTCCGTACCGGGGAACTGGTTCCCCTGCAGGTTCTACAGCGTGGCTCCAGTCCAGGATGGAGCGGGTTCTGAACCGGTCCTGCAGGACCCAAACAGCCTGTTCCCCCCATCCCATCAGTTTAACGGAGGCCGCCGCATGAGTCAGCCATGTTTTTGTTACCGCGTTAGGTCGATTTCCCAGGAATCCGCTACACTTTGCGGACCTCT